GCCACGAGTCGATTTTTTTACCGTAATGCAAAGTGCAATAACCGTGCATCAATATTCTTTTCTATGAAGTAGAAGATCCAGTTGCTTCATTTTCTGATAAAATGGAAGAATTTATAAACGCAGGATTAATACGCAGGATTAATTTAAAAATAATAAGTTATAGAATAGCAACGATTCAGATTGAACGTCTTATCGACTTCAAGTGAGGTTTAAGAAAAAAATCGGAGAGACATTTCGCTAAAATGTAAGTTGTGATAGATCGTAAGAAACAAAAATGTATAATTGAAATTATTAATGTCAAATTAATTTCTCATGAGTCATCGGTTACCATGCGAAATAAATCGCATATATAAATGTCTATGTGCAATTGTCATATCTTATTACGATTTAATGCAGTTGAGAACGCGCGGTCAACTTGATGCATTCGCTTGTAACACGTACCCTACCGGATGTCATAATGTTGTCCGTCTTACTGCAAGCAATATGTTAATCAGCCACTTTCTAGCTATCAAGTGCAATGCACTTCATATTAAAACACGTTGTGATTGTTATCAGAATAGGATCTTCAATTATAGAATTGTTAAGATAATATATTAATCATAAATTTCAATAAATTTCTTGATATAAGTATGTTTCGTAATAATAAACTATTGTAACAATAATATAATTAATGGAAATATAAAATTAAAAATTAAAAAATAATAAAAATTAAATGAATCTAGATAATCCTATTATGAGATAATCTCATTATGTAACCTACGACAACAGATTTACTTGATAACAGAAGAAAATACGGACTTTATCCTTATCTTGAAAAAATGGTGCGGATAATATTTGTGATATTGATAAAAACCGCATTTGATATCCGACAAAGTTTTATCAGTAAATGTTACTATCTATTCACTTCGAGTTTCTGCATACTCGCACAAAACGTGGAGAGAAATATGTTGCGTAATCGTGTCACGTCGCTTACATATATTTAAAAAAGTGCATATTTTATGTATATTATATAAATAAAAAAATTATTTGGCGTGTGCAAAGAGGAAAAAGTAATTTCATAAAATATATAAGTTGTATAATTTATCATTATGTATATACAGATGACAAGAATAAACCAGCAAAGTAAGTCTGATAAAACAATATGTTATTCATGGAGCCTCACTTTGCTCCACTTTTTGTTTTTCTTTCGCCATAATACATATTATAGTATTGTTTTTTTGTATATAAATTTTAATTGTACGTTTTTGCACTGAACATACATATACATATATATATGTACACAATATATAATATTATCACGTAATTTATCTAGTCATATATAATATTCAGAGTATGCAGCTACAGAAGTTAAATAAAATTGTAAAACATGCATGTACAAAACGCAACGCGATTCCTTGTGCAAAATCAAATAATGTACCTTTTGCCAAACACATTCACTTAACCATTGATTATTCATATTTTATATACATTTTGGGGTTAATTCGAAAATGTCATTCTATTCTGGATTAATTGGAAATACATTGAAAAGTTTGATGACTTCAAATATATATTGTTACAGATTGTGCTAGGACTTACCATAAAAATGTGGTGTTTTTTACAATTGTAATTTCTTGGAATATATACAAAAGAATGATAGGGAAAGTTAATTATTAATGGAATGAATTATGCAAAGATTTTTTCAAGATAATTTCAGATAGAAATCATTACAAATATTTATTTGTTTTTTAAGTTTTATTTAAAAGGCTTAATATTTTATCACATGTAGGACGGGATTTTTGGAGAAAAGAAATAAGTTTCATATTATTATCATATGATCATACTATTATTACAGAATAACGAAAATTGTAATAAAAAGGACAATAACTTTGCGCACTATTACGGCATTATAAATGATAAAAAAATATTGCAAAAGCTTAGAGGAGAGACATAAGCGACAAAATGACTCAAGACATCGCATACAATAGCAGCACAACGTTTATTAGCACATAAAGGATATTATAATTGCTTAAATTTAAAATGTAAATATTATATATTGCGCATATTTATATAATTTTATATAACGTATACACAGAGGTGAGCCATTATAATATTCAAACGAAGCATTTGACGCTCAAAATAAAATATTAAATCAATTGCAAAATAAGATATAATATTTTCAGACTGAATTCAATGCGTCAAATAATACTCATTTTAAGGTCTCGTAAACATTGTAAGTATATTCGAATAAAAAAAATCACAGAATTTATCACAATTTAAATTTATCAATTCATAATTGATCTGCAGTTATCACGCCTGAAATGTATAAATACATAATCATACCATATGCATATCAATTAATTTGCACATAATAAAGATAAAATTTATTGTGAAGCAGTGTTATTATCATAAGATATTTAATTGGGAAGAAGATATTATTAATCCAACTCTAACAATGTTATAGAGATTAATACATTGTAGGTATATGTGAATATCGTACAATATATTTAACAAAAAAAAATATTAAAATCAGATTAATTTTTATATCTTTAATATAACTTGGTAAAAATGTTCAGACCTATATTGATACATATAAATAACTTATTATGTATAAATATCTATGGAATATTCTTTTTTAAATATATATAATTTTTATTAGAAAACATAACTCTTTTCTATAACAAAACTCTCTTCTTTATTATATAATTTCCAGTCTTTTAAATTCTTAATTTCAATATCTCTGAAGCGTTTTTAGCTTTTCTCGTAGTTACCTTGCTGCATTAAATTGCATATTTGACATGCAATGCTGCATTCTTCATTTCGTTTGTCCATTTGTTTAAATGTCGTAAATTATTAACTACTAAACGCATTATATATGAAATATATATGAAATAAAATAATTTAATTTTATTAAATTCTAATAACGCGTGAGATAAATGTACAAGAGTGTACATGATATATATGTGCTAAATTTGTGCTTGTCATTGATTACTGGTATCATTAAATATTTCTATGATTTTTTATTTGTGATGACAATTCTAAAGACTAGCTACTTATATCAAGTAACACAACGCAATCGAAGTTTGCTATTCGTCCCGCATACAGTCTTGATACGCTTATGTGAAGATAAAAGTGGAGATATATAATAAAGCGACTATCGATATGTATACATCACAATGATATTGTAACAAGATAATACACTAACAATCTAACTATTTACGTATCTCTAATCGTAACATGCGCAAAATTCCTAGTTTCTAACATTTCTACACGACGAACATTTCGTTTTCGAAATTTCTATTGTTCGCTACGAAGGACCTCGCCTAATCCATTAGATTAGCCAGGAATAACCATCGATAACCGAGAGCACCGAGCTGGTCCGAATAACGAACTCGGATCGTTAGCTTTTTGCGCAACGATTGTGCTTGCGCGGCACGTCTTTCGCTTTGCGTCGGCAAAGATTGAAATCCAGAACCGACAGATTTTATTACCGTAGGAAAACCGGGGCTGTTTCGAGGAACAAATGCGCCGACCGTATTCCATATCGACGCCGGCCAAAATCAAAGAAAAACAGAGCGAATTTCGATAAAATAGACCGCGAACTACTTCCGATCTGTCGAAACACGCGGTCGACGAAAATACCGACTTCTTTTTCGGTGTTCCTGATGCTAAAGTACGTCCGGCTCGATCAAGAAGAGGAAGATCTATGTCGAGCATTGTACGGAATGTTCTCTCTCTCTC